TGCAAAACTGACTTTACATTTCCACAACTTTACAGTATCATTGCCTGTATCGATGAAGTCATCGGCACACATTTAACAATGAATATTTGGCAGAATTTGTAGTCAGTACAGTGGTTGGAGTTGAGAATTGAAAAATTTGGGCATCACAGTGAAAAAAAACGGTTGTCATTATCTTTACAAGCGGGAAAGAAGTTGATTATCGTCCAAAAAAAGCTTTTAATGCTAATTAAGAAAAACGATTAAAAAAAAAAGTTGACGTCAGTTTTTTTTTTTTTTTTTGACTACACTTCATTGCTGTGCAGTTTACTTGCAGTGGAATAACAGTGACTGCTGTTATTCGTTGACTGATAAAGAACATTAAGAACAAGAAAAGTTTGATTTTTGAACAATAATATCCTAGACGCTATCGATTTGCTGCCTACAGCAATAATCTGTCATATTTAATACTTTGACGTGTAGCCAAAATGTATTGGGTGAAAAAAAAAAACGCCAGTTCCTTTGATAAATTTGCTTTGCTTCCTCTCGGCTTGTACGTTAATTGTGGTGAAACATGTAACGCAAAATACTATGCAGATTCTGATGGCTGCTTTTTCCCTTTGCTTCCACTTTCTTTCAGTTTTTCAAAAGTTCAAAAAAGAATTACATTTCTTAATACTAACAAGAATTTGTTACATTCGATACAATTTGTACTAAAAAATAAACCTTTAATTGGGTAGGTGGTATAAAAGTGTTTGTTGTTTTTTATTTGCAGATTGACAAGAAAAAAAGAATTTGCTTCTGTGTAGTAAATGCTGTAAAAATAAATGTAGTAGTCGTGAAAAGCTTAATTTTCATTTGACAATGTATTTGAAAATAATTAAAAAATTAAGAAATTTTCTTACCTGCCAAACAGCACATTGAATTAAAATAAATTTTATGGCATGACTAATTCAATTTGATTCCCAAAAAAGAACAAAAAAAAAAAAAAACAGAAAACAAATTCTTCTGATAACAGTGTCATATCAAACAGATGGAAGATGTATAAGCAATAAAAGACAAATGAATGGATGTACGAATAAATGTATGAACAAAATATGCTACAGAAATAAATTTTGAACCGATTTTCCTCCTCCCCCCCCCCCCTTGTAAACTAAAATTGAGTCACCAATAAAAACACATAAAACTTTCATCCTAATTGATGTTCATTTTAGCTTTTAAAAAGTATTTGCAATAAGTATGTTAATTGAAAAGAAAAATGTAAAAAAAAAGTGAAGGAAAAAACAAAGTGTAACTGAAAGAACCGTAGGTAGAACTATGACTTTGCTTCAAACAAAGAAAAAAAGAAAAACAATGCTCCAATTAGCAAAAGTAATTAATTGCAGAAGAAACAACTAATATTTAAATAATGGAAAAAGTTTTAGATGATTAAAAATGCCAGTTATGAATACAAGTTTTTGCCAGTCGCCTTAAAAAGGAAAAAAACGGTAGGACAACAATGGTACGACAGCATTGATTCAAAGGCAATTATGTCTGATTTAACATTGACTGTTGTGTTCAGACTGAAGGAAAAAAACAATTCTAATATCAACTGCAACTCCTCAAGCAGCAATTTAATAGAGGGCTTCTTTCAACACAGCAATATAATTCTAATCATATGTCAACAAAGTATACTCGTGGTAAAACTGATCTATAAACTGATGCTACAGCACAACAACACTGTAAGTCCGACCTCATAACCAACCTGTTCGGCAAAGTAAATTTTGAGTTTTGCACGAAAATTTGCACTAAAAAATTCTTTTTTTTCACCTTTCTACAAAAAAAGGATGATAAATTCTAATATCAGTGAAAATCAGGCGATTACTGCTTTGAGGTAAAGACTATATGCACAAATGATCTAATTAAAACACGTGAATACGAAATTAAAAATTGACAACAGTAGCCAACTTAGTAAAGAGAAGGAAAAAACTGTGCTGTTTGACTCAGTTCACAACAAAATAAAAAAAAAATGATGCCTATAAGCTACATCGCAACAAAACAAATATAATTATGAAACAAATAACAAGAATACCAGGCAATAAACCAGTATTTTAACGATTCAAACAGCAAACAGCCCTCCGCTCCCACAGGATCTAAATTATGTATCAACAACAAACAAGACAGATTTGTACTGCAGAAAAAATAGAACACATACGAATATTTAAAATGACTGAGAAAAAAGAATTTCTAATATGATGCAAAAAAATCTTTGCGTGTGATTAGAAGCAGTGTGTACCACAGGGGTTTCGAATTCAAAGATAAAGAGGTGAAAAACAGGTTGGTTTACTAAGAAGCTCCTGAAGTTATCCAGCTATCTTATAGTTTCAGTTTGCAAGAAAAAAATCAAAAAATGCTCAAAGAATCCCAAAATATAAACTTAAATTGGAAATTGCTAAATAAAGCTTTAAAACAAGGAATCCATATTGCCCCTCTGTGTAGATTTAAAAGCTCCTAAATCACGCCGAGAAGAAATACTGGTCTGCGACTGTATACCCCATGCTGGTCCATCAGGCGCTGAACCTGATGCTGTCGGCCGTTTAAAACCCTTAAAAAAGTTATATTTTACATAATTCCGCTTATAATTTGTTTACGCCATATTCCCTGTTCCGTTCCGAAATAATTTTCTCCATTCTTTAACCGCAGTTCAGAACTACAAATTTTACAAAGGATTTTCTTCCATGCAGGAAACTTCCGTCATAATTTGTAAAAGTAATATAGAAATTTCTACAGAATATTATTTGAAAAATTCTTAATATTATATTACTGCCGTTACGCGTACTTTCATGCTACGGGAACTGGCTTTAGCATTAAAAGAAAGCCATTTATTTTTTTCTTCTTCTTTAGCTTCTTCCAGTTCTCTTCTACGATGTTCTTTTTTCAGTGCCCGGTTGCGCCTTCTTTCCTTTTCAATCTAAATTCATTTCGAAGTTCATTGGAAAAAATTAAATGAATAAGTAAAAATAGATAATAATGACCCGTTTTAATCTAATATGCACATTTTTAAACACTTCACTACTTAAATTTGTTTCGACTTTCGTTCACTGGGCACTATTCTTTTATGCCACCCCAAAACTAAAAAGTTTGTCACCAAAACGCATAAATCATTGAAAAAGGAAAACAAAGCTAAAAAAAAAAGAATTTAAAAACCTTTGCAACAAAAGACAGTTCCTACAACTCAGATTTCTTAAGAAAAGTAAAACAGATGCTTCACGAGAACTAATTTATTTAATAAAATAGAAATTTTGCTAAAATAATGTGCAAACACAAATTACCTACCAAATATAAAGAAAAACAAAAACAAGGAGCAGGATTCAACGCGCATGAATAAGTGGCAGTTTCATGTACCTTTATTTCACCTTTATTTATGTCAAAACTAAGTTTCCTTAAAAGCTTTTTCCAAATGTGCTCTTCACCAATAGTAATTAATTTTAAAAAGAACTGAATATTTTCAGAAACCAAACAGAATAGTTTTTGTACTGTTTGGTTTCTGGAATTATTTGTAAACTGTACTATAGTCACCGACGTTAAAGAATTGTGCAGTAGATAAATCAAAAGTTTTAACGACATAGGCTAGGTACCAATTAAAACCAAATAAGGAAATCCAAATGCAGAAAATCTTCCGCCAGAATTTTCAAAAATCTAGCTTTTACAGCTAATTTTAAAACCAAAGCATTATGATTATCCATATGATCTCATATAGCAGCTTATTATTCATCAAGACCAAAAAAGATTTGGAAATAAAAATCTCAAAAGTTTCATATGAAGACAGATGACGCTGAATGCAGAAAACTCTTATACGACTCCAAAAAGATAAAAAGCAATAAAAAAGTGATCGTTTTTTAAAAGTCTGACCTGCCATTCACTTTTACGATGATGCAAAGGTTTTGCCTTCTCCCAAACAGGCTTTCCACCATCCGTAACTGGAGATAACTCGCTTGGCTTCATCATATGTTTTGATCCCTTGCCTAAATTACAGAGCATTAATCACAATGGCTGCTCACTTGTTAACAATATAAGTGATCTAAAAGCAAAAAACAGTTCTAATTTCTGAAAATTTGAATTAGTTCCCAACAAAATGTTTCTCAAAGACTCAATCAAGTAGCCTACCGATGAAAGTAACAGCAACCGCATCCTGACTGAATCCATCAATTACAGCCAAAAATTTTTGTCCATTAGTAGAAAGCGCCATACAACGATCCCCAACCTAAAACCAAGCGTAAAATATAACAAGAAACGTTTCTCGATCCTTAAAGCATGGAGCAAAGTAAGTGACAAGAAATTTTGAAAAAAAAACATTCGGGAACTAGTTAGCAATATGCTAACCGTAATTAAGTCTAAGTTTAGCTACTCAACTCTCGTCAAGATAAAACCTAAAATAGCAAGCATTCTAAAAAAAAAACCAACTTTCCAACTATAATCCTTCTCTGTCTTCGAACTGGTAGTGGTAGTGGACGGCGTTTCAGGAATATCTGCACTCTGTTGAGTTTTTGTCAATTCTTCTTGTAAAGCAATTATTTCTTTTAAATCATTTTTGAGTTTTTTCAACTCCTCATTGTCTGGCTCAGCCAGCAAAGCAGCATCTACCTAAAGATTTTTACAACGATTCACAAAGACTAAATAAGTGCTGAATTATTTTAAGCTATCTTTACCAAATTAAAATACCAAGATAAAGTAAATCTCTTTGCACAGATACTAAATGCAACAAACCTGTTCCAGCTGCAATTTGTAATTCGCTAGTTCTTCTGCATCACTCATTATCTGCTTTGTCCGGAAAAGTTCTACACCTACAAAAACCAATAATAATTTGAACAGAATGTGGAGGTTGAAATCAGAGCCTGAAAAGAAAATATATTAAAAACAAATGTTAAAATTTCTCAGAAAATTAAAGCTGTTAACGATAATTTTTTCCTTCAGAATCGTGAAAACCAATCTTTACTTTTAAGCAACAGTGTTACAAGAGCAACATCCAGAAACGCTGCAGACGGCCAACAAAACGAGGCACGTATGTTTTTTAAATTTTTTTCTGCAGTGTAATCATTACCAAAAATCTTTAGAGTAAGAAACAAGCAACTATAACATAAATTATACTAATAAAAGAATATGATAAAATGTTCAAACCAGATTAAGTTATTCTTTTTCTGCGAACCAAATGGTAGACCATCAGTTTCAAAAAATAAAAGAATTTAGCTGAAATGCCAAATTCCTGAGCTTCTTTTCAAGAAAACTATCA